ATGGCTCTGAATAAAAGAGAAATATAATTGAGTTAGAATTTTCTTATTCCAAAAGCTTCTTATTTTATATAAATCTTCTAAACTTTTTGAAGTTTTGTTGCATAAATTTTATTTGTGACTTTTCCAAGTAAGGTTATTATCAAGACGGAAACATGTTTACTTAGCTGGTGATCTTAACTTAAATTTACTTAATTATGCTTTAAATAAAAATGTTTAATATTTTTTAGATATTCTTTTTAGATATTAAATATAACCTCATACCAACAATGAATAAGTCAACGGGAATAATAAAGACCTCATCGTCATTACTTGATAATATAATTACAAACAATTTTCAAAACTGCCGTTTAAGAACAGGGATAATCAAAACTGATTTAACAGATCATTTTCCAATATTACTAATTACCGATAACATAACTCTAAATAATCCCCCCTCGAACTCTACAATTTTAACGCGACAGATCAATCAAAACTCCTTATTGTATTTTTGAACTCTTTTATTAGAAAATATCGATTTAAATCTTATTTTACAATCCTATGAAGTCAATCATGCATATGAACTATTTTTATCGCAGTTCTGTAAACAGTATGACATTATATTTTACAACTATTATATTTTTGACAGCGATTCCTGTCAAAAATATAATAATAAAATTTAAGTCTCTTTTAAACCCCTGGAATACCAAGGAACCTAAAGAAAAAACAAAAACTTAATTAAAAATTTTAAGGCATAAAGCATATAAAAATGAAATAAAATACAAAAACTGTAATAACTTATTTGAAAAAACAAAAAAACACACGAAAAAAATTTATTATGCAAAGTTGTTGGAAAAAATCAACGGCGACACTAAAAAAACGTGGAATACAATTAAACAAATAATTGGTAAAAATAAATACGAAAAAAATCTCCCTCAAAAGCTTTAAATTGACGGAGAAATGATTGATGATAAAAAAAAAAAAAAAATAGCTGAAAAACTTTTTTCATTCTCATTTTTTCTCGAGGTTGGGCCGAACTTGGAGAGAAAAATTCCCCCTAGTACCACACATTTTGAATCTTTTATTAAATTGTGTAGTTCTATCATGGAAGAACCGAATTGAGATTAGGAATGCTTTTAATATAGTGCAGGTCATTACGTTTTAAAAAAACTCTTTGTGTGCACATACGTGTTACAAGCTAACTTTTTTGTTGATATGAGATCCTTGTATCAAAAAGATTTGAAAAGTAATATTTATTATTTGTGTCACGTGGTATGACGTAACAGGCCTCCTTAGCAAAAAAAAAAAAAATTATTCGCCGTTTTAAAAATATTTTATACCAGTAGAAAGAACATTAAATGAGCTTTCAAAATCATATAAAAAACATATGTTGAAAATTTTTAGTACATAGGATATAGGACGTTATGTAAGTTATCAAACCGGGCGTCATTTACAAAAATTACCACTAGATAAAAGATAAATTAAGAAGAACTGAAGTATATTTATTAATATTGGTATTTTATAAACATATAAATAATATTATATGTAAATCAAAATAGTATTTACTATCTCATTAAATACAATATTTAATGAAGAGAAAAAAGGACTCCCGAAAAATATTTAATTGACAGTATCAAGTCAATTAACCTTGTAATATAAATGGAATTAAAAACATTTATTGAATGAAAAGCTTCAAATATTCTAATATTTTATTATAAAACTCAAAAACTTTCTAAATTTTGGAAATATATGTTAAAATTAAAGTGCTTACAAGCTGGTATTTAATAATATATATAATTAAATTGCGTCTTATAAATCTCTACATTCATAGCCATAGTTTTTCTTTTGGTCGTCTACATTATTATTTTTACATTTTTTACACTTACACATATCAGTACAGATAAGTTTATTTTTCAAACATTTGCACCTTTTTTTAGTACAGTTTCCTTTACAACGACAGGCGACAGACGCTCGATAAGTGCTATTATATGTGCTGACAGGTTATCCGTCACTATGTGGTCAAAATATCCATTTTTTAGTTTCCAACAATACTCCCCAAAAATATATGGTACTTAAGGACATTCATTGTTGGTGGATGTTGTGCGGCGTCATACTAAATTTTAGAGAAAAGGAACCAACGAAGTTGAAATTCAATTTTTCGTCAACAGTGTCGTTCTTCAAGTCAATATTATCAATGGCAAAGTGCAATAGCATTCCTATTTGAATATTAGGAGGTAAAAATGCGCATTGATTTGTTGATATGTTTTCAATAACAGCATTTCCTGAACCATTTTCTATTTTTATAACACTATCATAGGAAATAGAAAATCCAAGATATACCAAGCATTTCACCAGCTTCTTATTAAGGGTTTCTTTATGCACATGTAATCCGAGGCCAACTGAAAAAGGTGTTTCAGTAACATCTCAGAAACCATTATCCGTTTTTGAGCAATTTGAGATTTGCTTATTGCTTTTTGCTTTATTTGCAATATTTTGAGAAATGTTATTAACACGGCTATTGATGGATTTTTTTTTAACATAACACGAGTCTAGATTCTGTTTTGGTCTAAGCTTAGCAAAGAAAATAAGGACGTCTATACCCACCTTAACAAGATAAATAAAGACGTCTGAGTATTAAAACCAGTGAAATTTCCATCAAACTTTTATTTTCTTTGCTACAGGATTTCTTTCCGAATTATTTTTGCTGCCTCAAAAATTGTTATCATCCGAATTGTTTTTAAAGTTATCTACCGCCTTTGCTTGATATTTAGAAAAGCAAAGCTGTTCGGACTTTTTACGGCACGGAGGTCTTGAAAAAATTATTCCTGGTACGTTATTTTGTAGAAATATTTTTAGTAACGTTTATAATTCACCTCATTTTGGTCATTATTCCCAATTAAATTATAGTAAGTTTTATTGATATAAGTTTTATTGATGCTGTTCATATCTATAGCAAAACCATCTTCTTTTAAGTTCAAATGGACTAAACCAATGATTGCTACATCTGCGATAACCCGTCCAATATCATCCAATTCTTAAATTTCTTCTTGAGTTGTTGTCAATTTAACAGATCTTTGCACTGTTAACCAACACTTTAAGTGGTATTTAACATCATTTGCAACGGCGTCAACAAAAATTGAGTGCTTGATCATTAAGCGACTTGGAAACTTTTAACATTTTTATTTTCCAGTCTCTGTAAACTCAATTTTTTGAAGTTCACTGCCTTCACATTGGCAAATTATAAAAAAATTCTTTGTTTTAGACTTGAGATTTTGAACGGAGCAATTTTTCTTTACCTTTTGACATGCGACTTGAATCTTCTAATTCATCTATGTACTCCTACCTTTGACTTAAATATACCATTAGTTTTTTCAAAGCGTTACGCAAACTGGTTTTTACAATCTGAAAATAAATTTGTAATTGCTAGGAGACACTTAAAAACTACTTAAAGAACATACCCAAAATGTACCAAATCGTATTTTTAAAAGATAAGAGATGTAAAAATACGTAGATTTATATTTTTACGTAGACATATGAAATAGTATCTAAATCAAATAAACAGAAAACATTTTTTACGATCATCCTCTTGGCCAACAATGCATTTAGTAAAGTCAAAAAAATTTTTTTTTTTTTTTGTTCTTCGTCCTCTATTTGTTAATAATATGTGAAACAGCATTAACACGGTATAGAAACTTTTTAAAAGCCAAAAAATAAAAACAAATCATTCGAATTGTTGCATTCTTATAGGTCGAATTATGTAAAAATAAAATAACATTATCAAAATATACAAAATAATACAATCGTCAAGCATGAAATATTCTATTTCATCAAAACAGGTATAATGTTATAAAAATCCGGAGGTTAAAAAAATAATTTTTGCCTAAAATTTGTTTTAAATAATATAAATTTTATAATAACTAATATATCTTAAATTACAATAAAAAACAAATTTCAAAAAAGATAAAATCCGCGTTCAAGAAAGTATTTTAAAAATTATTAAAAATCACCAAGCAGCGGTTTACCCCCGGTTTAAAAAAAACATATTTACCCCTGTATCTGTTAAAGTAAAAATTTTTAACATATATTTTTCATATTGATTTGAATACCTGATTTATGCTCTTTCGATTGGTATAAAAAAAAATTTAATTTGTAAAAAAAAATATTTAGTTGCTATGAAGACCAGTTACGTCATACCACCTGTCACTGCGAATTGATAATCAATTGACACCTGTCATTTTTCAAATCCTTGTTATACAAGGATCTCATATCAAGAAAAGGTTTGATTGTAACACGTATGTGCACACGAAGGTACATAATGGCCTACACTAATAGTTTTAAAAGTAATAAAAGTGCATGCATTGATAAAATTAGCGTGAATGTACTTTTATAATTTTATACTTTTCACTTTTCATTAAAACTAGGTGTTGTGCAAAAAAAACTTAAAGTTGCCATTATTACTCCAATTTTTAAATCGGGTGACAAAACTAATATTTCAAACTACAGACCTATGTCCGTCTTACCTTGCTTCTCATAAATTTTTGGAACGACTTATATACAACAGACTTTATAGCTGTTTGATGTTAAACACTTTGCTGTACAGTAAATGGTTTGGATTTAAAAAGGAGAATTCAACTAACAATGCGGTAATCGAACTGATTAAGCATGTATCAGATGCATTCAATAATGACTATTTTACTTTAGGAGTTTTTATTGATCTGTCAAAAACCTTTGACACTGTTAACCATAAAATACTTATGAACTCTATGGAGTAAAAAATAAAAACTTACTTTGGTTTGAAGATTACCTGGCAAACAGGTCACAAAATATTATTTACAGAAAAACACATTACATAAAGTGTGTCCTAACATCGCCTACTTTATACACAGCCGGATATGTTGCACAAATAGGCCAAAAATTAGAAGGCCAGTTTTTAGTATTTTGGTTATTTTTCATACTGCCAGTTAATATTGTTTAATTTTATTTTGAGAGATATTGATTAAGTTGGAAATTTAGTTTTCGATATAATGGTGAACAAATGTGCTGTTTTTAATAGTCGACCTGGATATAAATCTAAAAAAAGTGAATCTAGTGCAATATCTCTTAGATAGTAGGAGCTGTTTTTAGTTTTCCTAAAGATACTGTTTTAGAAAAAAAATGGATGAAATTTGTTAACAGAAAAGATTGGAAGCCAAGCAAACATTCAGTTATATGCGTGGAGCATTTTGAAAAAAAGTATTTAAATTATGGAAAACGAGTTACCTTAAAATATGAGCTAAACCATGTTCCAACCATTTATTCTGATGAAATTTCTATTCCATCTTCTATAATACCTAAAATTCCTACTTTTCGTAAACCTCCAACTGACCGACATTCTACCATCCTAGATGAAATTCATACATTTCAAGAAATGGATAAAATAAAAAACATTTATATGCTTCATGAATCTATCTCTCCAAATGGATTTAGCCTTCAAAGATATGAAAGTTTTGTTTTATATTATTGTTTATTTTTTGTAGACACAACTCCATTTATTGAATCAATACGCATCAATAACAATTTGCACGTAAAGTTACATTACAAAAGTTCTCCACTTCCAATCCCTAAATGGTTTAGTACAATTAAAAATTGTAAGCTTAAAAGTTTATCGATTTTAAATAATTTGGTGTCTTTTATGCACAACCTTGTTGAAGAAAATTCGTATGGTTTAATCAACGAACTATCAAATTTAATTTTTTACAAATCCAAAGGGGGTCCTCCATATTCTTCACAAGTATTAAGTTTTGCACTTATGCAAAGATATTCATCATTTTAGTCTTATTCCCTTCTTTTGAAACAATTCCCATTGCCATCAATGTCACTACTAAAGAAGTTAGTTTCAGGTGGAATCGATTCAATAAAATCATTAAAACTGTTATTAAATATTAAATAAAGGAAAAGTGATTGTGTTCTCCTTTTTGATGAAATGTATTTAAAGCAATCTTGTGAATACCACAGTAGTAGATTAATTGGTCAAGATACTGAGGGTAATCTTTACAAAGGAATAATTCTGTTCATGATTGTTGGTCTTAAAAAATCAATACCATATGTTATTAAAGCTATCCCAGAAATTAGCCTGACTGAAGATTTTATTAAAGATGAAATAGAAGAAAGTTTAAATACAATAAGATCTGCTGGTTTTAACATTCGTGCATTGATTGCTGATAACCATCCAACTAATGTGTCAGCTTATTTAAAATTACTCAGCGTTTATGGTTCAGATAAGCCAGAAGAAAATTTTTGTATCACTTTTAATCGTCATATAATTTATTTGATGTATGATAGTGTACATTTGCTCAAAAACTTTAGAAATAGTTTGATTAGTGCCAAAAAGTTTATTTTCCCATCATTTCAGTTCACTGATTACATTTTTAATATAAAAGTCTCTGCAGGTGATTAGGGATTGCTTCATAGAGTGCATGAAAAAGATAAAAATCTATCAGCAAACTTAAGAAAGGCATAAAAACTAGGAGAAAAGACATTATATCCAGGTAAAAATAAACAAGACGTCAACCTAGCATTAAATATATTCCATGAAACAACATGTGCAGCAATTCAAAGTTATTTTCCTAATGAATTTTCAGAATCAGAATTTTTAAAACTTGTTAATTTATGGTGGGTAATATCTATTTCTAAAATGAAATACTCTAATCATAAGTTTGGAAATGCATCTGCAGGGTTCCCACAGTCCTGGAAAGTCCTGGAAAGTCCTGGAATTTGACTTGTGTCTCAAAAAAAGTTATGTAAAGCAAAGCAGTAAGAAATTGACGAGTATATATATATATATATATATATATATATATATATATATATATATATATATATATATATATATATATATATATATATATATATATATATATATATATATATATATATATATATATATATATATATATATATATATATATATATATATATATATATATATATATATATATATATATATATATATATAATATATATATATATATATATATATATATATATATATACACAATATATATACATATATATACACAATATATATACATATATATACACAATATATATACATATATATACACAATATATATACATATATATACACAATATATATACATATATATATACAATATATACATATATATACACAATATATATGTTTTTTTGGGGGGCCTGAAAAGTCATTATGGTCTTACAATAAAGCACCGCATAAAATTATTTAATAAGAAGTTAACGCCTCCTTCCTAACAGATTTTGCAAAATATGCCCAGAGGTGGGTTTAAACCATAGATACCTAGTTTCTAAGGCAAGCGTGCTACCACTGCGCTACTCTATTTTATCCTTTAGGCTTTGTGTTTTATTAAAAATATAGATTTATTTATGAAAACTTTAGTATTAAGTTTCAAGTGGTCATAAAGTTTTTTTTCTATAGCTTTTTAAATGGTTTATTTCAAAGGAAAACATATGACTTTTAAGGAATTAATCTTTTGATTTTTTGTAGCTAAAATCCTGAAAAGTCCTGGAATTTTTTTTTCGGGAAAAATATCCTGGAAAAGTCCTGGAATTTTTTTGTGAAAAACCTGGAAAAGTAAAAAAATGGTCCTAAAAAGTCCTGGAATTTTGATTTTTTTTTCTCTGGGAACCCTTATCTGTTATGGGGGACGGTAAGCCACAATTTTTACGTGCATTTGCTCACTGGATTGATAAGTGGCAAAATTTGCAATACAGTTTCACCGAAAGATATTCTCTTACAGCTCAGACTTTTAAAGCCCTTATTGTAAAGTTTTTATTCTATATCACTGCAAAGTACTTCTAGTTTAATTGAAGATCTTTTATTTGAAGGATATAATTATGTTCTAACCTCTCTTTTTTAAAGTGATCCATTGGAGCGACATTTTTCAAAGTATTGTCAAATGAGTGGTGGCAGATTTCTTGTTGGATTACGTGAAGTAATAACTTCTGAAAAAATTTTGCAAATGAGATCATTATTAAAAAAAAATTTTGACTTTTGGAAAACGGATTTAAAAACTTTCAAGTCGGTTGTAAATATAAATTCGATTTCTGAACTTTTTATTAATGATATTTAGGAATGTGATTTAATGATAACAGTAAAGAAGTTGCTATTTTTGTTGCTGGATATATATGCAGAAAATTACTCAAAAAAGTTAAATGTGACATATGTTCTTTATTGCTCAAAAGGGATATCATTGATTTAAAAACAAAATATATTGAACTACTATTCAAAGGAGGTCTCATATCTCCCTCAAAATTGCTTGCAAATCATGTTATTATTTACTTTGCTATGCTTAATGCAGTAAAAAAAAGGTTTACTTACCATAGAAATTCTTGACATCAGAAAAGTTAGCGAATATATTTTATTTGAATATAACTTGAACCACAGCTTTATTTGTGAGGATCATTTAAAGTGGGAGCTTTCCCTCGTTAATCAGACGAGGGAAAGCTCCCACTAAATATTTTTTATAACAATGAACAAAAGATTTTAAGTAATGGAAAGCGCAAAGATGCTGTATTATCTTTTAAAAGAAGACAAAGAGACAAGAAAAAAAAAGAAATGTAGTTTATGTGTGTGTATATATATATATATATATATATATATATATATATATATATATATATATATATATATATATATATATATATATATATATATATATATATATATATATATATATATATATATATATATATATATATATATATATATATACATATATATATACATATACATACATATATATATATATATATATATATATATATATATATATATATATATATATATATACATATACATATATATATATATATATATATATATATATATATATATATATATATATATATATATATATATATATATATATATATATATATATATATATATATACATATATATATATATATATATATATATATATATATATATATATATACTCTTGCATGGTAGTTAAAAGGAGTTTCCCATAAACTGTAGTTTTAAAGAGTGCGTTAATAAACCAGACCAGAAAAAGTTTAAAAACTTAAATTTTTTTTTTTTAAATGATAGACTGCCTGCCCAAACCAAACCCTCAGTCGATGTAGCAGCACTCTCTTGCGAGTCAGGCTATTTGTCAGTCGTTGTAGCAGCACTCCCTTGCGAGTCAGGCTATTTGTCAGTCGATGTAGCAGCATTCCCTTGCGAGTCAGGCTATTTGTCAGTCGATGTAGCAGCACTCCGTTGCGAGTCAGGCTATTTGTCAGTCGATGTAGCAGCACTCCCTTGCGAGTCAGGCTATAAGATAGTCGATGTAGCAACATTTACGCATGTTTTAAAAATGTTTTTTAATAAAACAAAAAAACAAAAACACTACTAATTAAAAAAAACTTTCTAGTCGTTATTATTGCGGTTTATAAAAAAATTTTTAAAAAACAATAAAATTTAATGTACTTCCGCATTAATTTAATTGCTTTGACATTTCGACGACAATCAAATACAGCTTAAGAGACGACTACATCGACTATCTTATAGTCAGGATATAAGATAGTCGATGTAGCAACATTTACGCATGTTTTAAAAATGTTTTTTATTAAATCAATAACAAAAACACCACTAATTTAAAAAAATTTCTAGTCGTTATAATTGCGGTTTTTTAAAAAATTTTTAAAAAACAATTAAATTTAATGTACTTCCGCATAAATTAATTGCTTTGACATTTCGATGACCATCAAAAACAGCTTAAAAGACGAGGTAATTAAAATTGTAGTCGAAAGAGACTTTTTTTACATTAAAACGCTCTTTCGACTACACTATAAGGATATATACATATATATATATATATATATACATATATATATATATATATATATATATATATATATATATATATATATATATATATATATATATATATATATATATATATATACATATATATATATATAAGCAGATATATATATATATATATATATATATATATATATATATATATATATATATATATATATATATATATATATATATATATATATATATATATATATACATATATATATATATATATATATAACTATATATATATATATATATATATATATATATATATATATATATATATATATATATATATATATATATATATATATATATACATATATATATATATAACTATATATATATATATATATATATATATATATATATATATAAAGTTTATATATATATATATATATATATATACATATATATATATATAACTATATATATATATATATATATATATATATATAAAGTTTATATATATATATATATATGTATATATATATATATATATATATATATATATATATATATATATAATATATATATATATATATATATATATATATATATATATATATATATATATATATATATAAATAACTTTATAACCATTTAAGAACATTTCCAGTTATTCCGTAATCTTTAAACTTTTTTAAAAAAATTTCATGTTCTATAGTATCAAAGGCTTTGGATTAGTCAATGACAATGCCTATTTTTTAAACGATTCAGTGATACTACGTGTTAATCGGAGAATCGCGTGTTGTGTAGAGTTGTTTTTTTTAAATCCATACTGATGGTTAAATAACAAATGATTGTCAATAAGGTGTGTGTAAATTCTGTTATACATAATTTTTTCTAGGAATTTCAAAAAAATTGGAAAAACAGGTATAGAGCGATAGTTATTAACATTTGCTAGTTCTCTTCATTTGAATATCGGTGTATCATTTGAATATCGGTGTATCTTTTGTTAT